TTCCCAGTCTGCTATATCTTCACCGGTTATCGCCTAGTAACGGCGTTCAATGCCATAGTTTCCTCAGCTTCCGTATCCACATCCTTACTGTCCGGCGACTGTCTCATAACTCATTTCTACTTTTCTAACTGCCTATCAAGAATCTCTCGTAATCGTAGCTGCACGGACCACATAGAAAACGCCTCTCTCGACAGTTCTGTTGTTGCATGACGTATCTGTTGAGCAGACCGCGTAGAGAACACCGCTTCACAGTTATTCTATTTTTGCGTGTTTGGAATTTGTTGCGGCCATTGTTTAGCAACGGTTGTTATATAGCTGCTTATTTCGCGACGTTGCCTGGCAACGGGTTACGTGCCACAACATATTTGCGTTTCCTTTAGTATCTATAACCGATGAACTCTTACTTAGTTATGCAAGGCAAAATGTAAATTTGCCCCGTGCCAAAACACGACACCTCGAAGACGTATAATGAGGAAGCTTGGAGGTATATCTCCATTCATTCCTGACTTTGATATTAGATGGAGTTAGGTCTAAATGATAAGCTTCACGCTCTGGCCGCTCTCCGTCACAGCTGCAGTGAAGAGAGATGTCGCCGGGCGCCGCAGGAACAGGGAGGCCTCACCTAATCCCAAGAAGCGACCGGACTGTAGAGGCCGGTTAAAAGGCAATTCGTTGTGCCATCCAGTCTGCACCCCTTCACTATATCGACTGAGCCACTGAGGTTCTCTACTGTATCACCATAACGCTGCTCTTAGCAGTTGATAAAACATCGTAAAATAATAAGAAAATATGTGGGTTTAGCAGCACTTCTTATTCCTGCGTTTCACATTTCCTCAGTTTGTTTTTGTAGGCGGACTGAGTGCCGCGTTGAGTATTCTGCAGTGGAGAGAAGCAGCAGCAACGGGTACCGCTTTGTGTGTGCACTAAGGCGTAAGACCAGGAGCAGCCCCTTTTGTTTTCCCAGCGCAGAGCACTTTCAAGTGGAGCCATGCGGAAATGTGCTCTGAAATTTAAGATCAGGATAAAAAAATAATATGTACTTTCCGTGTTTCACTGGCCCCGTGTAATGTACAGGTCGGCCATTATCTGAACCTGCGTCTGCTCCCCCACCTCACCTGTGCCTCTCACTTCTCTTTATTCATCACAGTCCTGTTCCCCATGCTTCTTCGCTTCCTCATTATCGTCCTTTTCCCTGTTTCACTTTCGTTGTCATATTCATCTCTTTAGTTTACGTGTTGTTGTGTCTTCTTGATTTCTTCCTGTCTCTCCGTCTCGGTTTCTATGTCTTCTCTCTATATTGCCGCTTCATTTTAGTGACTTATAGACCGAATTTTGGATTGGTAATCGGATTTATTGCACACTTATACAACTCGTTACTGCACTTCACAAATAATTATAGGACATACTAAGGCTTCTCAGACTGTTAGTCTTCACAAGCCGTTGCTTGGTAGTGACTTCCAACGGCGAATTGGCTGGATTCCCGAACTATCATCGGTCTCAGCTACCATCTTTTCGAAACAACTGAACCCGAGGAGTTGTCTAACTCACTGAAATTCGCTCACCAACCGACAAACTCTTCACTCACACAAGAGAGAGAGAGAAAGAAGAAAGAAAGAAAGAAAGAAAGAAAGAGCATCGATTTAAGAAGGTTCCCAGGCTTTGCCCGCTCGTCCTTCTGGTAAGAGTAAAGTGAAAGTGTAGGCGTTAAGATGATTAGAAGCAACGACTTGAGAGAGTTGAGAGAGAGGGGCCGCGGAGCTTTTAATTTCAAAAATTAGAGTTTACGTGTATAATTTTGGTAATTTTGGCAGCAAGGGACCGTAATTTTGATGAATTTAAATCGGGAGGGCTGCATGAGAAGCATGCAGTAGCAACTTGGAATTTGGGAACCATCTCAGCATTTGCTTACAAGACAGAGGAAAACCAAGAAAACCTGTGTCGAGATGGCCGGTGGAACACACAACCATACTGAGAGAGAGAGAGAGAGAGAGAGAAAGAAGAAGAAAGAAAGAAAGAAAGAAAGAGCATCGATTTAAGAAGGTCCCCAGGCTTTGCCCGCTCGTCCTTCTGGTAAGAGTAAAGTGAAAGTGTAGTCATTGCCTCCACTGACTCCTCAACATAACGGCACGGACCACGTAGAAAACACCATTCCTGTTGCAGTGCAATATTTTCTTAGCGGGAACATGACATATTCCATTATTGTATGCGCAGCAATCGTCACGGACCACCCAGAAGACACAATTTCTGTGTTTATGGCCGCTGCATAGTAACAGTCGGCTGTTATGACTCCAGTGTTCTTGCGAATATGTTTCCTTTACCTCCACATTCATCATTCGCCTGTTTATATTTCTCTCGCATCTCAATTTCTCTTCATAACATCTTCCTTTTCACTTCTCCGCTTTGTTTGTTGGACCCTGTTTCCCGTCTTCCACTTTCCATCTTTGCATTTACACGTCATGTCCTCCTGTTTCTGTATCCACCCTCGCCACTAGTATCTGTTGCTTTTACTGTTATAACCTGTATTCCTCTTCGTGCCTTTTCGTGGTAGCTCGGTCGGTATAGTCACCAAGCTGCGGATGGTTCCACTCCCGGCAGCACTTGTGGGGCTCACCTGCCTCCCCGTCTGCGGATACAGGACCCTCCCACGAAATAAAGCGTAAGGGCGTATTGAGACTCACAACTTATCTCCCATCTAGTACCGAGGGTGAGAATGTGTAGAGCTATGCCTCCACTCCCCCATACAGCATGGACAGCATTAACTTTACTTCATGTCTTTCCATTCATACACACTCACCCCTTCATTTCCCTCACATCTTCTATACTTTCCCCTTCCATTTTGTTTTGCAGCGCCTTGTAATTTTGTACGTCTTCGTAGTCACTTTCCGTTTCTCCTTTCCTCTCCTTTGGCCACCTTATCCTATTATTCGTGCTTATTAATCACAACGATTTCGAATTATTTAAAACATTCGAAAGACGAGCACATTGAGAGCGTTATCCCGTCACGTGATGCGCTCGCAACTCTGCTTAGACCCTTGGTCCGAATTCCTCTATGCCTCGTCCACGTGAAGCCCATAAATTGGACAGACCACTCACGTAGATAATTTTTACATTGTATCGTTTTAATTGATTTTACTTCAAGGTCAATTTATTTTAATCAGGAATTATCGCGGTCACAAGCGATACATAATTTTGACATACAGTGCAACAGTTTTAGCAAGATGGAAAACGCCTGACGAGGGCCGTGTACAGCCGAAACATGTAGTGTGGAAGGAGGGTGAGTAGATAGTAAATTGCATTTAAAACAGGATTATATGTGTACAGAAGGGGATGCTTAAACGCAATATTTTCATCACTAATGAACGTTATGGGCAGCTGGGATATCTCAGTCAATATAGCGACTGGCTACGGACTGGATGACGGAGGGTACGTACACGCATCCATTTTGATTCTTCTGCAGACATACTTATGTGTCACATTACTGCGTACCGCCTGTATTAAAACACCATACTTCCGCCATTTTGTCTTCTTAATTAATTAATGTTTCTTGCCCCGGAACAATTGTTGCGTGGCGTTTAGTGAAATTTATGCCGTGGTTGCTTGAATAACAATGGAGATGTGTGTTAAAAGCTGACCTGATGACATCTGGTGCTGATGGTGCTAATTCCAGCAGACTCTGGTGTGTAAATAGACTGGCCTTCCGTACACAAGGACTGGAGGTCATAAATCCCCGTTAAATGCGTGAGAGAGGAAGCTGCCTAGACCGGTAACTGAGCAGCGGATTTCGACAATCACGTGATAGAAGAAAAGTAGGAAGGTCCAGACTGAGATGGCTGGAAGATGTAGAGACTTATTGAGGAGAGCTTAAACCGAAGAGGTGGAGGAAGGTGGCAAATAATATGTTAGAATACACATTCACTAGAGCACACAGTCTAGTGTTCTCACAAGGGAATTGTCTGATCCGACATGTCGAAACCCGCCCTGATTTTTTTTTC